GCCCCCGCCCCCCCCAACAGCTAGAAATCCAATACAGTCCAGAGGCACGTTTAAGACCAAGTTTTATTCAGGTACAAGCTCTCCCTCCTCTGCCAGGACAGATCTGCAAGTTCCTCCCCCCCCTCCAAATAGCTGGCAATCCAGAACAGTCCAGTGGAGCCTGAGCGGTGGGTGTTGCCTTCTGCTTGGCGTGCAGAAGGTCCCAGGTTCAGTCCCCAGCATCCCCAGTTAAAAGGACCAAGCAGCAGCTGACAGGAAAGACCTCTGCCTGAGACGATGGAGAGCCATGAAGTGGGGCCGTAGCTCAGTGGCAGAGCCTCTGCTTGGCATGCAGAAGGTCCCAGGTTCAATCCCCGGCATCTCCAGTTAGAAGGACCAGGCAGGAGGGGATGGGAAAGACCTCCGCCTGAGACCCTGGAGAGCCATGAAGTGGGGCCGTAGCTCAGTGGCAGAGCCTCTGCTTGGCATGCAGAAGGTCCCAGGTTCAATCCCCGGCATCTCCAGTTAGAAGGACCAGGCAGGAGGGGATGGGAAAGACCTTCGCCTGAGATCTTGGAGAGCTGCTGCCCTTCTGAGTAGCCAGTACTTTGACAGACTAATGGTCGGATTTAGCATAAGGCAGCTTCGTATGTGTAATATTCCTGCGATCCTTACAACGTTCCTGTAAGGTAGATCAGAACAATCATCCCCTACACTGGACATGGGTTTGCTGAGGAACGGAGGAAAGGATTGAAGCTTGTTAAGCGGGCAGCCAGTGCACAGTCTCGGGTGTGCCACCCGGTTTCTTTCCTAGACTCACCCTCTCCCTCTCTCACACACCTGTCTCTCTCCCCCCCCCCGCCCCGGGTTCAAAAGCCGCCGCACACTTCCCTATGCCTCCGTGAGAAGCGAGCACTCCGTTTACAATAAAACGAAACCGCCTTATCGTCTCTGGGCCAAACCCGCAGCCGAAAGGAAAGGAGACCCAGGGGGCAAAGGCTTCCAGTAAGCGCGCACGCCGCGCCACCGTGACCGTCGCTTCCTGTCTTTCTAACCGGGCAGCACTCGAGGCGACAAGAGGCTTCCAGGACCGCAAATGTTCTTGCAGCGGCCGGCTGCGGCCAGAGCCCAGTAGCCACGACTCCCCGAGTCCTCTCCCTTGTAGCTTCTTTCTCTGCAGGCCTCAAACTTCAAGAGAAGTCCCTGAATGGGGGCCCCCCCCCCTCCCGGTAGTTCAGG